TCCATTCACAAAGTATGTGTGCCATTCTTTAACACATCTCATGGGATGATTGGACAAATCTCTTAGGTCTTGATTTCTCACAGTACATGGCTCACTCGTGGATCTACAAAATTAAGAGACATCTAATATTACATTACTATATCTAAAATATATTTAAAATAGAATTATAAGATTCATACTTGCTCCTTGAACCATATAGGAAAATCTGCATGTATCCGAGCGTAAGCCTGTGATTCACTTATTTGTTCTGATCGCAAGAATGAACTAGCCAAGTACACCATTTCAACGGTCAATTTGAATGTCGTAGAATATTTGACAAAGAAATTGAAAAATAATCTTATTTGAACTTACTCAAGATATGGTTTAACTTCAACACAGCTTGATTAATATATGAACATGAGCGGATTTAAATTCGGAATCGATCAACCAAGTAACTTAACTCCCGTCCCGAAGGATGACCAACTTGTCGGAAGATTGATAACATTGAAACTTGTGTTTGGCTTTGAAAATCCTTTTCATTTCTACGTTGTCGTGGTAATAACATGAAGTTGTTGAAATAATGAGAACAAAAGTAAGTTGTCTCACGATGCAAGTAAGTCGCACAAATTGATCCTTCAACTTTGGCCTTGTTTTTCACTGATCGTTTTGAATCACCCATGAATCTAATGAATTAAACAACATTATGATTGATAAGTATAATAAGAATGACATTTAAAAGCCATGGGACAATCATTTTAGTACCTTTCAAATGGATACATCCACCTATATTGTACAGGTCCACCAAGCCAAGCTTCATATGCCAGATGAATAGGGAGATGCTCCATTGAATCAAAGAATCCAGGAGGAAATATTCTTTCCAACTTACAAAGAATAATTGGAATATTTTCTTCCATTCTAGTTAGCACTTCTCTCTTCAATGTTGCAGAGCACAAATCTTTAAAAAAATGACTAATTTCAATAAGAGGATTTAAAACGTGTATTGGTAATGCACTAAATGCAATAGGAAGTAAACACTCCATGAATACATGACAATCATGACTTTTCATGCCATGAATTCTCCCTTTTTGAACATCAGCACATCTTGTTAAGTTGGAAGAATAACCATCAGGCATCTTAAGTTCTTTTATCCAATGACAAACTACTTTTGCCTGCTCAGTACTATATGTGTAGTTTGCTTTAGGCTTTAACATTTTCCCATTAACTTGTGCCTTCAACTCCAAGTCTCTACGCCTACAATATAAAGCTATATCTTTTCTTGCTTTGTCATTGTCTTTTGTCTTGCCACTTACATTCATCACAGTGTTGAAAATATTATCAAAGAAAATTTTCTCTATGTGCATAACATCAAGATTATGTCTCAACAAATTATCTTTCCAATATGGGAGATCCCAAAATATGCTTCTTTTTAACCAATTATGTCACTCTCCATATCCTTCTATCCTTGTCACGCCACATTCAGTTACTTTTGGCAAATCTTTTACTCTTGACCATACTTCTTTAGGTGTTAGCCTAGGAGGCGGCCCTTCTAATTCAACTTGCCCCTTCCGAAAAGCTTGAATGTTCCTTCTAAAAGGATGATCATTAGGTAAGAACCTTCGATGCGAGTCAAACCAACAACTTTTACGACCATAATTTAATGTAAATGATTTTCTATGCTCCATACAATGTGGACAAGCCAATCTACCATGAGTCCCCCAACCAGATAACATCCCATATGCTGGAAAGTCATTAATAGTCCACATCAAAGCTGCCCTCATCATAAAGTTTTGTTTCCTTGAAATATCATATGTAAGAATACCACTCCATAATTTTTTCAAATCATCGATTAAAGGCTCCAAGTAAATGTCAATAGAAGCTTTCGGATTAGATGGACCCGGAATTAGGCAAGTTAAAAACATATATGGCTTTGTCGTGCACATATCAAGAGGAAGATTATATGGGGTGACAATCATGGGCCAACAAGAATAAGGTGAAGATGAAGCTTGGATATATGGGTTAAATCCATCAGAACATAATCCAAGTCTGACATTGCGTGGATCAGCAGCGAAAGAAGTATGTTTCCTATCAAAGTACTTCCATGCTTCACCGTCCGATGGATGGCGTAACACATCAGAACTTCTATTATCATGGTGCCAAGTCATTTTCCCAGCAGTTTGCATTGATGCAAATATTCTTTGTAATCTTGGAATTATAGGCAAGTAAAACATAGCTTTTATTGGGACCGGCTTTTTGTGACTTGTTCCAGTGCTATTGTTGTGATATCTTGGTGTTTGACAAAATTTACATTCAAGCAATGCCACATCCTTTTTTCCATAATCATTGTCATAGAAAAGCATACACCCATTAACACAACAGTCAATCCTCTTAGCCTCTAATCCCAATTTTGATACTAATCTCTTAGCATCATAATAACTTGTGGGCAACCCATCTTTTATAGGTGTCACATCCAACAACATTCGTGTCATAAAGTCTAAGCACTGGTCATGAATGTTCCAATTTGACTTGCAAGCTAAAAGTCTAACACATATTGACAATTTTGAGTCTTCTGCCCCTTCAAATAAGGGTTTATTTGTTTCAGCCAACACATTATAGAACCTTTGACTTGCTTCATTTGGTGGTTCTTCTATATTAACCAACTCGGGTCCTTCAAATGAATGATGTTGCAAGAGAGAATTGTACATCATCTCTTGCATTGACATAAATTGATCTTGTTGAGGCATGTGTGCATCGCTACTTGAACCGTGTACACAATTGTGATCAAAATTCTCTTCAACATGAGGTATTTGTTCACCATGATCGACCCAAATCCAGTAGTTTCTTTTGAACCCTTGCTTGTAAAGGTGAACTTTGACGATTTCATCCTTCAAAATCTTTGTACAATCGCATTTAACGCATGGACATCTAATCCCTCCATCATGTTCATAATGTGTATGTTGTCGTGTCTGTTCGATAAACTCTTCAACCCCTATAACAAAAGACTCTTTCAAACCTCTTCTACCACTATAACATCTATCATACATCCAACCGCGATTGAAAGAAATACCATCCATGTTCTGTAATATTGAAGAGAATAAGATCAATTAAAGGAATTGTTTGAAAGAAATCTACCATTGGATTTTGATTAAACTATGCTTCAAATAGAGTAAAACGACTCAACTAAAACTTTTATGTTTTGCAAAAGTTGATATAAATGAAATCTCCTATAGACTTAAGACAAATAGTGAAATTGCACTTCACATAATTTGAATCAAAATTGAATCTAATCATTAGATTCAACATAATAATACTAAGCTACTTTTATATTATCAAATCCAACTTAACATTGGACTTTCAAGCAACAGGCTTCAATAAAAAAGGAATCAGTGCACTAAAACATATTTACATATAAAGATGAAAAGTAAAAAAATGTGGAAAACCAAAGTGGAAGAGTATTGCTAAATGAAATAAGGTGAAAAAGTGATCAATCTGGAACTCAAATATTTAGATCTCGAATTAATTACAACGAAACTGAAATTTATTTATTAAAAAAGAAAAATGCATTTATGACTTGATGGGTAACAGGATATCAGTCTATTGTATAGCCAAATGGAGGAAATAATAGCAGCCTAGCCATGGTGACCAAAGGATTTTATATTATTTTTAAGATATTACTGACACCTTCGGAAGATTAATTCATCAAATTTAAAGTGTTGGGTGGAAAATCATAGGCACAATCTGGTTCCCAAAGCAATTGTCAAGCAATTTTAAGTGTCAAACAAACAATTGAAATTATAAAAGCTATGTCATCCCCAAAATAGTTTAGATGGAAACCATTGGAATTGTGGTTCATAACACTAATTAAAACCCAACTGCCTCCTTATTGGACTTTTTGTACCACGTGTGAACGCATTTAAACCCAGATCTGCCTCCTTATTGGACTTTTTGTACTGTAGGAACCTAATTCTTACCTAACTCTACCCAAAACAAAACAAAACAAAAATCCTCGCTTTGGTTCTATTTATTGGCCACAAATGTGTATGCATGAAAAAAAAATTAAAATTTAAAAATATAAAAATATAGAGACACACAATCCCATTATACAAAAACATAAACACTTGTTTCCCTGGTACATTGTACGAGCACTATTAAAAACATGGCCAAGAAAAAATGTAAATAGATGCTGCCTTGCTTTCTTGCTTTGCTCCCTGGCACCTAGTTTAGTTACCTTTAAAAAATGGCTATGAAACATTTGGTCAACATGTTTCATTTGGACATACTATATCTATTAAAGGTGTGAATGATCCCTAGTCTACTTCATTGGGCGTGGCACTTATGCTAGAGGACTATATATGTGAAAAGATACATCAAACATAACCCAAAAATTTTGCTGAGCAGAACAACCTAGCTATAGGCGAGAGATGTCTACGTTAATTCCGAACATAATACATCATATCCTAATTTGCATTGCATATGTAGCTTACTCCATGTGGAAAACTCCAACATTTGGCCCCTACTCATCATATTCCTATATTGGACTATAGAAAAGATTGTACAGCTTGTTATATATTAGACTTTTTCTGGTGAAGTAATCCCTATAGCTAGTAGACAGATTCGATGATAAATGTTTTATAAAATGTTTTCACAAGACTTGTATGCAAGTTTAGATGTGTTAGTAAAAGTGATAGATAAACACTTAGTTTTTATAATTGCACCGTGCCACATGGAATCTCTGCTTCGCCAAGGGAATAATCTCCCCTAAACCAACCATCAACACCACTACCAGGCAGGTAACCTTCACAAGCCGAGAGCTAGCCATGGTTCTGAAGTGTTAGAGAAAATTGCACTTCTTCAAGGAATGATGTTGAGTTGTGGTTTGTGAATATTTCAAAGGGTATTTATAGAAATCATGGGATTAAACATGGGATCGTTAAATTATGAAATGTGAAGTAAGGAATGGTAGGTTTTCATTTAATGCAAGAAGATGAATGACAGATAACCGATATCTGTAACAATACAATACAATGGCAAGACATGTGCATACCACGTTTTCCTGCATGCCCCAAAATGATTTTTGGGTATGTAATTTCTGAAAATACAACACCACAATTTAACATTTTCTTAGTAAAAGAAATATGTAAAGAATGATTAAAGTGAGAAGATATGTACATACTTCATGTATTCAAAGGCATTATTTAGCCAGACAAAGCCATATGGTGCCCGACAATTCATAAAGATTCTTACCCCAAATACATGAAAAACAGATTTTGAGAACAAGTATATGCATAAGAAGAAGAAATAAGATTAAGACAGACACAGTAGAGATCCTAAAATTGATGAGATGTGTAGTATATGACAGAAAAAGCCCCATAAATAGCCCAATTACAAGTGCAAGCTACATATATCAAAGAAAAAGAAAAATAGCAGAAGATGTAACCTTTATGAGTCAAAACTCTGAATATATGTAACTCGTGCAGGCAGTATTTAATAAAAGCTTACTTTGTTTGCCTTTCTGCTATCAATCCAAATGTAACACAAGGGCAGAAGCAAGTGACCAAACCTAAGAGAATAAACATCCATAGTAGGTCAAATTGCTTGATGCTTATACTAAAGAAAAAAACTAAGGAATCCACATACTCTTAGTCTTACAGTTTCCAGGATCATCAAGACAACGGCAAAGACCAGTTGACCAATTGTTGTGTCTTGATTCTAACCAAAGACAAACTACCCAAGACAGTAGCTACTAGCTCATTTCCATTGTCAGTAGCAGGACTTTTTGGACAGATTCCTGAATAAATATTTATGTGAAAAAAAGAAGTCAAATAAATTAAGTTTGTCCAATTAACGAAAATCAAATTCTGCAGCATAAATCTAAAATCAAATTATATACTTCATCTTTCATAAAAGGCATTTCATCTAATTTCTCCTAAAACCAATTTCAGCTTCTAATTTTCTTCACCTTCACCACAAGTTCATACAAAAAGACAAACCTAAATCTATTTCCACAGCCCCTCCTTAGATGACGGGGTCAATGAATAACAAAATTGAATGCAGTACCGTACAAATAATTTTAAACCCACATCTCCTACATCTCCAAAACGGTTGAAGATCCAAATTTTCAACTAAGAACCGTTTCGGAGACAGTGAAACATTGCACCCGAACTAAAAGTCAAAAGACTAAAACTATAAGAAATTAAACAAATCTAGAAGAAGCAATTACAGCGAACTTGAGCAATTACTTCAGAGAATAACTGGAATAAGAGGATACATAAAGTTTTGGACAATCGAAGGGGAGAAACAGCAAGTCAAACACAAAAGCAAGCGAGAAATTGAATGTGGAAAGAAACCCTAACCTTCGCGACAAATAGGGGAGCAAAGGGAAATCGTGCAACACTAGGTGGGGATTACGCAAGGCCACGATCGCTAAAGTGGTTGCCACCAGGGAGCTTGGACAAATGTAAATTCCAGCAGAGAGAACGACCTTTTTTTTGGGTTTCAGAGAAGCATAGACGCTGAGGCACCTTTTGTTATTTTACTCATCTCAAAGAAAGGGAATTTACCGACGGATATATCCGTCGGTAAGACAATCCGTCGGTAATTTCCCTCGGAAATCACTCATTTACCCACGGCTACGTTTTCGTCGGTAACTAATTGAGAATTTACCGACGGATATATCCATCGGTAAATAAATGTTCCTTTACCGACGGATATATCTGTCGGTAAAACCAAATTTCATATCCGTCAATAATTTTCGTCGGAAATCAGTTATTTTTCGACGGATACGAAGCCGTCGGTAAATAGCCGTCGGTAATATCATATTTTCTTGTAGTGCTCTTAGCCTTATGGTTGTTACATTTAATAACCATAATTTTTTATTTGTATAGATGATCAGTTAAAATACATTTGTGAAATAAAAGCATAGTCTTTAAATATATTAAAAATATACGAACATACAAAATATAAATTATAAACTCAATAATCGGTTCATTTTTATTTGTATAGATGATCAGTTAAAATACATTTGTGAAATAAAAGCATAGTCTTTAAATATATTAAAAATATACGAACATACAAAATATAAATTATAAACTCAATAATCGGTTCACGATACCGCATATAATAAATTCACATCAACCAACAGTTGTATTTATTTTGATTTTATAATAGTAATATATAATTATTTTGATAATTATTTAAATTAAAAAAAAACTTGCATATTTTAAAATAAAATATGTAATTTGTTTATATAAAAATATCTCATGTAAAATTGATTAATTTTTCTTATTTTAAATATAATGATTTGATACATAAATTATTAAAAATAATATTTATTTAAAAAATAAAAATAAGAAACCTACTCCTTCTCTTTATCATTTCAAAAATATAATAATAGTTTTTAACTCTAAAATAAATTAATCATAATTTTTAAATTAATAAAAAAATATTTTTATTTTTATTTTAAAATAATTATCATTTTGTAAAATAATTCAATCACAAATTTACATACTAGTAATATAAATTGAATTAAATTTACTATATATGTTTTTTTCTTCATTCAATCTATCTTTTTCAGGTCAATCATAAGATGATCTGGATTAACACCCTTAAAATGATAAAAAATAATAAAATTATATAAATTTATTCGTTGTCATATTCTCATTAGGCACTGGCAAATTGAGGGATATACTTATCTCCATTACGGAGCTATCTGACTAATCATCTTCCTGGTGGGGATTACCTGTTTCAAGCGAGTTTCTTTTTTAGACTTCGATTACCTTCATTATGAGCATGTCGTTATTGACACTCGTTCGACTACTTTTCATGCTTGAAAGTGTAGTCCTCACTATCTTTCCTAACTTTAATGTTAATTTGAAAGATAAATTGAGACTATAATTAATAAATTACTAAAAATAAAAGATGATAAAAAAAGTAAATTTTAATTCTTGTTTTAAGATTGAATAAATGCATTCTTTTATAATTTATTATATATTAAATTATTATATATTAAAAAAACTAATTTCATGATAAAATTTAAATTTTTAAAATATATTTTTATTTTTATTTAAATATATTTTTAATTAATTGATTTTGTATAAAAATATTAATATTAAAAAAAAATCAGATTAAAATTGTTTCATTAGTCTAATATAAGGATAAATTAGGCTAAAGTTGATTTTAAAATATGAGTTGAATTATCAATTTTTTTTACTAAACTTTGTAGATCAAGTGAGGTTAGACTGAGTCATCCTTTTACAACTGTTATAAGAGTTACAACAAAATTCTTTTTGGATAATTTATTAGTATAATAATCGTAAATATTTAAATTTTTATTGAATAAGTTCAAGAGTTATGAATGAGTTCATTACATGTATTGCAGTTGGCAAGTTGTGAAACAAATATTATTTATTTTTACATACTCTAATTAATCTATAAAACATCAAACTTATATTAAAGAAATAATATAAATAAATGTTTCATTTAAAAAAGAGATTATCCATTATATAAAGTAATTATTTAAGAGTTAAAATTATATTATTTTATAGTTATTTATTTTAATAAAATATTATACTCTTTTATTATTTTTTTGTAATTATAATTGTGTTTTTAAATAAAATATTTGAATATTATTTAAATTTTTTATAATGTTATTAATATTTGACTATATAAATAATTATAATGTGTAATAAAATGATTTTACTATCCATTTTATTTTATATTGATTTGATGAAATAAAAAACTATTTACCTTTGTTAATTAATAAGTCAAAGTTACAAATATTGTACATGGACAATTAAAATTTTGAAAGAAAAAATTAATTCTTCTAATCATTCCTTACATTCATATATTTTTCTAGTATTGTCTTTGTTATTATATTACTGTAAGATTTCGATATTTATTTTATGTCAAGTGCATATCGAAATCGTGCTATATGTAAATTTTATGAAACATAAACCAAAGTATATCTTAATTTTGTTTTAAATTTATAGTAAGATATAATAGTTTACTCCTTCCATTTTTCAAATATTTTAAAAGAAAATATATTTTTTCATGGTTTTAACTATTATTATCTTAGAAAACAAGGTAATGAATAAAATAATTTTTTTAAATAAAAAATCGTAAAAAAATACAATTCAAAAGTATAAACTTTGAAGAAAAATTTATGAAAGTTCTGAGTAAGAAATGACGTTGGTAATTATTATTTTAAAGCAAAATTTAATATAAAAAATATTTGTTATTAACCATAAATATTTTATATAATAATAAAATTATTGAAAGATACTTGTATAACAGTATGCATACCAATGAATTGACTATCAATAACATCTTACATTTTTAAACATCTCAATTTATTATCACGGTGTATCTATATTTTGTAAGAAGAAATTGTTAAAATATTTTTTCACAAAGAAATACATATAGAAAATTAGAAAAAAGGCATGATTAATTCAAAATTTCTACATCTAACAAATAACCAATTAAATTAATATAATAATAATATCATTGTTTTATTAATATATTCAGTTGCATTGTATAGAGGAGTTTGGGTGTCAAAAGAAGAATTTCCTAAGAAAAATAAAACTGAGAAAGACAGGCATGCATGCATGCATGCATGCAAGCAAAGGCACGGATTCAGAGTCCATGATTCAAGGAGCCCCTCTAAACAATATGCTATTTACATCGGTTTGGAAAAGAATTTGGCGGATGAAAATTGTTCAAGGACCGGATTTTCCATTAACTTAGTGGCATGAACAAAAATGGCGACGGCAAATTAGGAGCAGTTCACGGTCCGTTGAACAAAAATGGATGATGATGATGATGCACCTTTCGTTTCACCAACACAAGCGTATAAATACCACTCTCGCCACAAAGCACCAAGCACCTTAGGGCTTTGAGAAATACACTGCCCCCAGGGTTCAAAAAGATCGCAGGGAATAGAAACAAAAAACAAAAAAAATAAAACACAAAACCAAAAAAAGGAAAAGGGAAAAAAAAAAAAAAGAAAGAGTTCCATATCATAACTTAAGCTGTTAGGGATGGCGACTGGGTTCGACAGCGCTCATGCGAAGAAGAAGAAGTTCGCGATTCTGACCGTGTCTTCCGTACTTCTCGTGGCGATGGTTGCGGCGGTGGCCGTCGGCATAAGAGACGGCGTCGAGATCGTGGAGGAAGAAATAGGCGGCGGCGGCGAAGGCGAAGGCATCGTGAAATCTCAGAGGAGCGTGCAAATGATATGCCAATCCGCCGAATACAAACAAACCTGCCAGAAGAGTCTCGCCAAGGCCAACGAAACCACTGACCTTAAGCAGCTCATCATTACCGCCTTCAACGCCACGGCCGAGGAGCTCCGCAACAAAATAAAAAACTCAACGCTCTACCACGAGTTGGCCACCGACAACATGACCAAACAGGCCATGGACATCTGCCATGAAGTACTGGGTTACGCTGTGGATGATATAAACCAATCCTCTGTCACGTTGGAGAAGTTTGACCTTAGCAAGCTGAACGATTACGTCTATGACCTCAAGGTTTGGATCTCCGGCACCCTTGCCCACCAGCAAACATGCTTGGACGGGTTCGAGAACTCGACCACCGAGGCTGGGAAGACCATGACTAAGGTTCTGAGCACGTCGTTAGAGCTGAGCAACAACGCGTTGGACATAGTGAACGGTGTCTCGGCCCTCTTCAAGGGTCTTAACTTTACCTCGTTCACCTCCACCACCGACACCCACGCCAACCACCACGCCCCCGCCTCCGCCCCCGCCCACGCCCCCGTCCACGCCCCCGCCGACGCTCCCACCACCGAAAACTCCCCCGCCTCCGCCCCCGCCAACAACAGGAAGCTTCTCTCGGAAGAGCCTTTGGTGGATGGGTTTCCATCGTGGTTGAGTGAAAGGGAGAGAAAGATTCTTGAGGCTGCTGAACCCAAACCGGACGTGGTGGTGGCTCAGGATGGGAGTGGCCAGGTGAAGACAATCCACGAGGCTCTGAAAATGGTACCTAAGAAGAACAAGAAGACTTTTGTGATTTACATCAAGGCCGGTATCTATAGGGAGTATGTTAACTTGAACAAGCACATGTCCTTTGTCACCATGATCGGAGATGGCCCCACCCTCACCAGAATCACAGGCAATAAAAACTACGTCGATGGCATCCAAACCTACAACACAGCAACCGTCGGTAAGTGCACGCCAACACAACTTCTACTACAACCCACAACACGTATATATATCACAATGTTCTAGTTATGTGGTATGATCATAGGAAAATTATTTGTTCACTACCCAGTTTTTCCATACAATCCATCAACAACATGATTTATCAATAAAATAATGAATATTAATAAATTTTATTATAATTCAATCATTTCATCAATATAATAATAATAAATGGGATTGTCTAAGGTGGTATAAAAAATAAAAAATATCAGCACTCTTCGTAGGTTAGTCTGAAAATATCACTGCTCATGATCATATGGTTAACATGCACTTAAACTTGAATACATTTACCTGTGTTAGTATTTGCTAATTACGATGTATTGGCAGGTGTGAACGCTGAACACTTCATGGCCAAGAACATTGGGTTCGAGAACACGGCTGGACCAGAGAAGCACCAAGCGGTGGCTCTGAGGGTAACGGCGGACAAGGCGGTGTTCTTCAACTGCCACATGGATGGCTACCAAGACACCCTCTATACCCAGTCCAAGCGCCAGTTCTACCGTGACTGCACCGTCAGTGGAACCATCGACTTCGTCTTCGGCGACGCCATCGCCATCTTCCAGAACTGCAGGTTCATCGTGAGGAAGCCAATGTCGACCCAGCAGTGCATGGTCACCGCCGGAGGAAGGACCAAGATCGACAGCCCCAGCGCCCTGGTGTTCCAGAGCTGCATCTTCACCGGCGAACCCGACCTAGTTGCCGTGACCCCCAAGATCTCGTATCTCGGAAGACCCTGGAAGATTTACTCCAAGGTGGTCATCATGGACTCCCAAATCGATGACATCTTCGTCCCCGAAGGATACATGCCCTGGATGGGAACCGCCTTCAAAGATACCAGCACCTACTACGAGTTCAACAACAAGGGTCCTGGTGCCGACACCGCCGGAAGAATCACGTGGCCAGGTTTTAAGGTCATTAACCCTAGCGAGGCTGCCGAGTACTACCCTGGCAAGTTCTATGAGATCGCAAACTCCACTGAGCGTGACGCTTGGATCCTTAATTCTGGTGTACCATACTCCCTCGGCCCACTTCAGCCACCAACCGCTATGCCCGCAGCTTAAATTTTTTCATCGTCTTTTCTTTCAATCTATTCCAATCTAATGAGCTATATATGTATGTAGCCATGCGTCTATATATACATGTTATATATTTATTTCCCTGCACGCGTGCGTCACGCTTGCTTCACCATGTTTTGTCTGTTCAAAGAAACGTACTACTCATGCAGTACGTACGATGTTCTAATTTGTTAATTGAGTTTCTCCTGCATCCCATTTGCTTCCTCCCTCTCTTTTCTTTAATTTCCGTGTTTGACCATGCTAGCTATGTACACATTCCATGCCATTATGCTTTCATTCATGGGATCATATGATACTAGTCCTTTTTTGCCTTTTTACGATTCTGGGTAAAAAAAAGAAAAAAAAAATGGAGAATGCTACGAGACGAGTTGAGTGAGCTAATATGGTTTCACAATTTCATTTGATATTCTTTTCTTAAAATCCTACTAGGTATCCCCAGTTTCTTGTATTAGATATCACGAGTTTCTTTTTCAACTCAAGTCATCGCGCTACTTAAATTAACACTCAAGAATAAAAATATTCAATTATTTACATGAATATATTATTTAAAAAATAATTATTTTCGATTTAATTATATTATATTATTAATTTGAATAAAAATGAAATTATTAAGAGAAATATGAATTAATTTAAATTAGTAATTATCAAATAAAAAAATTACATATATTATTTTAGGACACGAATTATAAAATATTTATTTGTGAGCTTTTTTACATGTCATATTTTAATTTGTCGTTGACCTGGGTAGGCGTTTTGTGTTTTTGTAATACATCTATTATCATTTGTTAGTAGAGGTTAAACATTTTCTATTATCATCATGAGAAACATCTTCATTTTTTGCATTTGCATATTGAATAAAGACATACTAATCATAGTAGACTTAAAAGAAGTTTGATTATATGTTGATTGTGGTGTCATAAAAGAGATGAAAAATATAATTGTTTTAAAAGGAAACAAAATAAATATATGAGAAACTTGATCTCGAAATTGAAATTTACTATGTAAATTTTGAAGTTGGTCAACATATCTAAAAATTAGATAAGATTCTTGACTAGTTTGAACAACATATTGATGACGCGAATAATCAATATATTGACCACTTAACTGTACAATATATTCATCAAATGACTGATCAATATGAGCATGACTAGATTGATCAACATATTGGTGTTTTTCCTCCTGTGTATCATATTGTTGAAAAAAAATATTGCAACATTAGTTTCATATAAATATTATTATATATAAGATAAAATAAATTATATACTTACTTCATTGTCTTAATCTTTGTGTTTTATAGAAAAAATATATTTTATAGTGTGCTGAAAAAACCATATCATATTATATATCATGTATTTTCACGTAATTGGTCATTCTCGTGAAACTCATTTTTCTTTAATCAAACGATTATGGTGGTCATTCCATGTAGTAATCTAATTTCATGATATTGCGGCTAAAATCTTTCAGTCTTACTTCTTTGTAGAGCTTGTCCAAATTGATGGAATCTTCTGAAATTGGTTGGTGAAGGTTAAATTACCTCATAACCCAATTTATTGGATGAGAGTTCATAAATTACAAAACATATCATTAAACTATAACACTACTTCCAAAAGATTCTTCAACATTTATTAGTTATCATATTTCAGGATAAGGAGTTAACAATCTTTGTGTTATTATATAAGACATATAAATTAGAATAATTACAATTTAAAAAAATATATATATATATATATATATATATATATATATATAAAGTTTTTTTAGAAACACATAGAGTACAAATGAATATCTCATTTAGTTTTAATTTATCAAATAACAAATAAATTTATCAAATAACAAATGTAATACATGTTATTATTGTCTTTTCACCTTGTCATTTATAATTGATTGCATTTATTGATCAAATTTCATTAAGTTAGAAAATATTTTTATAAGATGTGTGAATTTCAATTTCATATAATTTGAAATAAAGATTTTTGGTTTGTGTGATTCATGTCCAAATTTCATTCTTATTTTTAACGTTTGTCAAAAGATATTAGGAAGACCTACAACAACTCGTATTCAGAATAAAAAGAATTTATCAATTGTAAATAAACCAAAAATATTTATTTAGTAAAAATGAAGGACAAATGTGAAAAACTGTCCAAATAGCAATAAATTTGCACTATTGTCTTTAAAATAGTTCTATATTTTAATTTGTATTGTTTGTTAATTTAAATTAATCATAATTATTTTAAAAGAATATATTTATGTAAAGAATAAAATAATAAAGTCATGCTATCACAACTTTAGTTAAAAAAGACAAAACAAAACTTGTGTTATCTAGCACGATTAAAAAAATATATCTCAACTGAAATTGTATATTAGCTCACTCAACTGGTCTCATCTAACACAAATTTTTTCAATGAAATCGTGTTTGGCACAGTTTCACCCTATTTTGTAAACTTTTTCAAATTCGACTTTATCACATAAAAATCTCAATTTTTTTGACCAAGTACATAAAAAAACATTGTTTTTTCATCCTACAAATATAGATATATCATAAGTAATAATGGAAGTAAATGAGTAATGAATATATTTGCAAGGCTATAAATAAATAAACAAAATGATTGATGGACAACTCATACAACCACTGGAAATTCACCTAGGATGTTTCTTTCTACACCTTAGTATTTTTTTTTTATTCATCCCATTTTTATCTAAAATGATAATATTACCCCTGATGTAAATATATTTTAAAAAACTTATTTTGGAAACAAGTATTTTTTAATTATATTTTTTGAAAATATATTATGAAAAATTGATTCTGAAACATTTCCCAAAAAAAATTGAAAAATATAATATGAAAATAAGTTTTGGACTGTATTTTTCATAATGTATTTTCAAATTATATTTTTAAAAAATGTATTCCGAATTCTACAATTTTAAATTTATTTTGGGACTGTGTCTTTTTTGAAATATATATATTTCTAAAAGTACATTTAGAAAATAAATTTCATATTATTAAATCTAAAATATATTTCTAAAAAATTTAATCCGAAAATGTGTTTTGAATTAGCATATCATAAATCATTTTTTGAATTGTGTTTTTCAAAAATATATTTCAAATTCAATAATATAGAATAGTATAAATGCAAATTAAATATATTTTTTATAATATTTTTAGAGGCATGACATGTTATATGATTCAAATCATAAATCACTAAACAACAAATTTCTTATTTTAGAATGAAAATGATGTTTGAATGAAGGTAAAAGAGGTGTAAAAGAAGAAAACTGACTTTGACATGTTTATATTTTATATATATTATGGGGCTGAAAAAAAGAATATTAAGGGTCGAGGAAGAAGCAGCCAATCACCTATTATAAAACTTGATAAAAGCAAGCCCAACTTCAAAAACCCTTTATTCTCTATTATGGGTCTGGCCCAACAAGGGCTTATTTTAACTTATCATGGACCAGCGGACAATAAATTGACATAGCTGATAACTGATTTTAAATTCCAGAAACAAATTCTTTGAATATATTTAGAATTTAAAAAAATGGTTAGAAAATAATGAATTGTTTCATCGGAACACAAATTTTATTAAATTTATTTGTAGAAGAAAAGAAAAAAAAAAAGTTAGACTCGTTAATATCGTGTTTGGTACCTTGGAAATGAAAATGAAAGGAGAAAAAGACAATAAAGGTTAATGGAGAAGAAAGGTCACTTCGTTGTCATTAAAAACTCCCATGAAAAATATAAAAAGAAAAATGAAATTGAACTTCTTTTTCTCAAAAATTGTGAAAAAAAAACAAAAAAGAAGAAATAATGATAAATGATTTTGTACTTACCCAGTCCAAAATTATTGTACCACTTAATCATGCTTATTGGTCAAAATTCATTAAAGAAACTACTTTTATTTATTTTTGTTATTAATTACCTTTATTATGTTATAATATCTTATAGTAGTTTTTATTTTATGGGCTATCGACTAATTATGTCTCAGTCAATTATTATCTCTTGAATATTATATAAAGGGATCTAATTAGGGAGTAAATCTCATTTCATAACTTATTCTCATATACATCAATATCTTGTTTAAAGTGTCTTTTGCAAATGGACCTCTACGCTTTCCTAGAGATTGTCTTCAAAGTTGGTTTCAAGATCGATCAACCAACTTTATCTTTTTGTCTTGTTGACCATCTTTAGTTCGGTAAGAACATTTGACACCCATCAATGGATCCGATAAAACGTCCCCCACGATCTCTCTTGTCCTATGGTTTTAACTCGTAGCCAGACAATGTCCAACCCAAAACATTCCTCATGATCTCTCTTGTCCTATGGTTCTAACCTGTAGGCAGATGGTGTCCAACCCCAACAACATGGACCTCAGCCGTCATTAACAACCTTAAGAATAACATGGACGTCAGCCGTCATTAACAGCCTTAAGAAGCACTGTAAAGCTTTGTTAAGGTGAGTTGTATAATATACTCATACTGTAAAGTTTTCTTAAGAGTACTGTAAAGTTTTCTTAAGAGTACTGTAAAGCTTTGTTAAGGGTACTGTAAAGCTTTGTTAAGGGTACTGTAAAGCTTTGTCAAGGGTATTGTAAAGCTTTGTCAAGAATACTATAAAGCTTTGTCAAGGGTACTGTAACCCTTTGTTAATGTACTGTGAAACTTTGTTAATGTACCTATAATGTAAACATTGATAAATGAATGAATTTTGTTTTGCAAACTGAATTGTATTGTTTCGCTGTGTTTAAATTACTCATAAAAGTTTTGAATGAATGACAATTTCACTTTTACGTGAAATGCAAATAAAGGTCTTGGATTCAAAATCAATCTTAGGATGAAAATTGAAATTATGAGTTTCAATTTTATTTATGGCACATAATATTTTATTATGTGAATAATGTACATATTTATTAAAATCAATAAAAAAAATGCTATAAATGGTTAATAGCAATTAAAGATATTATTTATTTGAAATTAAGCATGATAAATTTTGTTAGTCACCAAAGTGGCCAAAATTTTAAGGTTATTTTGATTTCAAATTATTAATGATTTTATTTCAATTACCCATAGTATGAATGCTAAAATTATGAATAATGATTTATGGGTTAATTGAAGTTATTTATTATAAGGCATTTCAGGATCACCCAAAGGTTGATTAGTTGTTATTATAATTAATGAACATGAAAGTAGATAATTTTGTGTGCATCACTAGTTTTATTTATATACCCAAAGGTGTTAAGTGATTCTAGTTGATGCATATTTTAATTATCATTAATGTTATAAAAAGATTAGCGTAATTATGTTTGTGTATTAGTGGATCTCCCAAAGGAGAACATTAGTATGCATAGAATGATTATTTATGTTTGAATTTGTATTTATGTTTAGTTTTTATGACTCAAAGCATTAATGTTAGGCATGTCTTAATTGAAATATTTGTTTATGTATTTCTACATTCGCTTACTTCGTCTATTCCAGTCTTTAATAGATTAAATTCCCTGACTGGAGTGAGAAAGTCAAATTTCACTTAGGTGAGTTGGATTTTGATTTGGCTTTCCAAGTTGAAAAACCGGATGCTATCACTAATGCTAGTAGCAACAAAGAGAAAACTCATTATAGAGTTTGGAAAAGTTCAAATAGACTTAGTCTTATGTTTATGCGAATGAGTATTGCAAGCAATATTAAGTATGCTTTTTCCAAAACTAAGGACGTGAGAGTATTTATGAAATTTGTGGAAGAACGTTCTCAAACTGCTGACAAATCCCTCGCTGGGACATTGAGGAGTACGTTGACCACCATGAAGTTTGGTGGTTCTCGTAGTATGCATGAACACGTAATCGAAATGACAAATATCGCAGCAAGACTCAAGTCTCTTTGAGTGGCATTGGAAGACAATTTTCTTGTGCAGTTCATTTTGAACTTGTTACCGCCTGAGTATGGTCCGTTTCAGATGAATTATAACACCATGAAAGACAAATAGAATGTGCATGAATTGCACAGTATGTTAGTACAGGAGGAGACCAGACTCAAGAACCGAGGAACCCACTCTATTCATTACGTGAAAAATTAAGGAGCTAGAGAGAAAGTTGTTAAGAAACATGGAAAGGGTAAAGGACCATTAAAGATTAACGAGTCCTCTACTAACACTCAGCAGAAAAATGACAAATGTCATTTCTGCGGGAAGTCTGGACATTTTCAAAAGGACTGTTTAAAGCGTAAATCTTGGTTCGAAAAGAAAGGTGAGCATAGTACTTACGTATGTTTTGAATCAAACTTAACTGAAGTTCCCCATAATACTTGGTGGATTAATTCTGGATGTACGACTCATGTTTCTAATGTAATGCAAGAATTCCTTTCAACACAAACCATAAACCCAAATGAGAAATTCGTCTTCATGGGGAATAAAGTCAAGGTTCCATTGGAACCTGTCGGGACTTATCATTTAATCCTTGACACTGGATATCACTTAGACCTTATGGATACTTTTTATGTACCTAGTATCATTATAAATTTAGTTTCTTTGTATAAGTTTGATGTTACTGGATACTCTTTTAAGTTTGGGAATGGTTGTTTCAGTTTCTTTAAGCGTATTTCTATGATTTGATATGGTTAGGAGTATGTTAAGTAATTCATGTTTACCTGTATCATTGTGGATGTATGCTTTAAAGACTATTGTGTATTTGTTGAACAGGGTTCCTAGTAAAGTGGTTCAAAATACTCCTTTTGAGTTATGGACAAGTAGGAAACCCAGTTTAAGACACCTACATGTTTGGGGTTGTCAGGCAGAAGTAAGAATTTATAATCCATAAGAAAAGAAACTGGATGCAAGAACAATCAGTGGATATTTCATTGGTTATCTAGAAAAATCAAAGGGGTATATGTTTTACTGTCCTAATCATAGTACAAGAATTGTTGAAACTGGAAATGCTCGGTTAATTGAAAATGGTGAAACCAGTGGGAGTGAAGTTTCACGAAATGTGGAGATTAAGGAAGTTAGAGTACAAGTTCCAATAACTAGTACATCTTCAAGAGTTGTTGTTCCAAATGTTGTAGAATCACACGACAATCAAGAAGAACAACAAATTAATGATCCTAAGATTAACAATGATCCGATAACAGAACAACCACAAGAAATAGTATTAAGAAGATCTCACAGAGAAAGAAAGTCTGCTATTTTGAATGATTATGTGGTTTATCTACAAGAGTCAGAAAATGACTTAAGTATTGATAATGACCCAGTTTCATTTTCAGACGTCATTAATAGTGATAATTCTGACAAATGGTTAGATGCTACGAAAGATGAGCTTAAATCAATGACACATAATGGTGTATGGGATCTTGTGAAATTGCCAAAAGAATGCAAGAGTGTTGAGTGTAAATGGATCTTTAAGACTAAGTGTGACTCTCATGACAATATCGGACGTTACAAGGCCTGTATTGTTGCCAAAGGTTTTACTCAGAAAGATGACATTGATTATAAAGAAACATTTTCACCTGTTTCTAAGAAAGATTTCTTTAGAATTATCATGACATTAGTAGCTCATTATGATCTTGAGTTACATCAAATGGATGTTAAAACTATTTTTTTGAATGGAGATTTAGAGGAGGATGTTTATATGAATCAACCAATGGGGTTTATTGAAGAAGGAAAGGAACATATGATGTGTAAACTTAAGAAATCAATATATGGACTTAAACAAGTTTCTCGACAATGGTATCTTAAGTTCAATTATACTATTATGTCCTTTGGATTTAAGGAAAACACTATTGATCAGTGTATATATCTGAAGGTCAGTGGGAGCAAGTTTATATTTTTTATTCTGTATGTTGATGATATCTTGCTTGCAACTAATGATCTTGGTCTATTAAGTAAAACTAAGAAGTTTCTCTCTAACAACTTTAAAATGAAAGATATGAGTGAGACATACTATGTGATAGGAATAGAAATATTCTGTGATAGATCACAAGGACTGTTAGGTTTGTCTCAGAAAACATATATTAATAAAATTGTAGAGAGATTCAAAATGGAGAATTGTTCAGCATCTCCCGTTCCAATATAGAAAGGAGACAAATTTAATCTCATGCAATGTCCAAAGAATGACTTGGAACAGAAACAGATGGAAAATATCCCTTATGCATCTGTTGTTGGAAGTTTGATGTATGCTCAAACATGTACGAGGCCAGATATTAGCTTTACAGTTTGTATGTTGGGTAGATACCAGAGTAATCTTAGACTGGATCATTGGAAGGCTACAAAGAAAGTTTTGAGATACTTACAAGGAACAAAGAATCACATGTTTACTTATAAGAAAGCTGATCACCTTGAGGTGATTGGATATACAGATTCAAAATTTTCTGGTTGTATGGATACACGAAAGTTTACATTTGGTTATGTGTATCTTTTATCCGGAGAAGCGATTTCATGGAAATGTGCGAAACAGTCTGTCATTGCTGCATCCACCATGAAAACTGAATTTGTGGCATGCTTCAAGGCTACAGTTCAAGCTAATTGGTTGCGGAATTTTATTTCAGGACTTGGAGTAATCGACAGCATTGTCAAGCCGCTGAAAATTTATTGTGACAATTCCGCAGCAGTCTTCTTTTCTAAGAACGACAAGTATTCCAAAGGTGCTAAGTATATGGAATTGAAATACTTTGTTGTTAAAGAAGAAGTTCAGAAACGTAAAGTGTCAATAGAACATACTAGCACTGATCTTATGATTGTTGATCCTTTCACAAAGGGATTATCGCCTAAATTATTTGCTGGTCATATAATGAATGTGGGCATTATGTTCACTAGTGAATGTTGAATGTTAATGTTATTATTAATGCTTATGTGACACTCTGAGATCTTTAATGTATAAGTTTCTGAATTTTGTATTTTCTTCTTTATTTATATGCATGCAAATTATGATGAAGAAAACAAATTATGTTATTATTATTAAAATGATATTATGTTTGACCCCATTATGGACTTCTCATTATAAAGTCATATTAAGGAGAAAGAGATAATATAGTGGTACATGGAAGGGAGTCTGTCGATTGAATGACATGTAACCGCCATGACTCTTGTTATAGTTGTATCTTTAATTATAAATAATGATAGAACCAATTTATGTAAGATCCTTTAATGCACATTATGACTTAAGTATTAAATCATAGAATCGTATGACATCACATGAGTCAAGTGGGAGAATGTTAGAATTAATTTAATTAATTCATTCCATTATGTGACTCATGTGAAATATAATGATGGGCCCAAATGTGATTTAATAAAATATGAGGACCTATTGGTTATTATGTAAAGTTAGAATAAAATAAAGATAAAATAAAATATTAACTTATGGTAACCAACTTGATAGACGCTGGTTAATAAAATGGAATAAGGGTTCTGTCTCTGGTCATAAGGTTTTTTTCACGATAAACCATCAAGAAAACGTGAGAAGAGAAAGAAAGACAAAGAGATAGATTGGAAAAAGGAGATTGTAGAACGAAAAGATTAAAAAATAGATTCTCATGAATCAATGTTAGTCTTCTTATTATGATTCATGTATTGATGTATGTTATATTGTGAAAATCTATATTGTGAAAATGAATAATCTAAAGATCCTGTAGAGTAGTTTTCCATAATGAATTAAGAACGTAGGAAAACTACATATTATTTTACACATGGACCTCAGTCATCGTTAACAACCTTAAGAAGCACATGGACCTTAGTCGTCATTAACAGCCTTAAAAAGCACATGAACCTCAATCGTCATTAACAACATTAAGAAGCAAATGGATGAAAGTCATCGAGCGTCAACAAATAACTTAAGAAGAGATAAAGAATTTGCAATCGTTATTAACAGCCTTAAGAAACACATGGATGAGTGTCGACAGAGAAGTCAAGAAGAGGACGAGCGTCGACTGAGAAATCAAGAAGAGATAAAGAATTTGCAGCTGTCATTAACAGCTTGAAGCACATGGATGGGTGTCGACAAAGAACAACCTCAAGAAACACATGGAGGGTGTCGACAGAGAATAACCTGAAGAAGCACATGAACAGGTGTCGACAGAGAACAACCTCAAGAAACACATGGATGGGTGTTGACAAAGAACATCTTGAAGAAGCACATGGACGGGTGTCGACAGAGAACAACCTGAAGAAGTACATGGACTGTTGTCGATAGAGAACAACCTGAAGAAGAACATGGATGGGTGTCGACAGAGAACAACCTAAAGAAGCACATGGACGAGTGTCGACAAAGAACAACCTGAAGAAGCACATGGACAGGTGTCGACAAAGAACAGGCTTAAGAAGCACATGGATGCGTGTCCATAGAGAACAACCTTAAGAAGCACATGGACGAGTGTCCACAGAGAACTCGAGAAGAGATAAAGAATTTGCAACCGTCATTATTAGCCTTAAGAAGCACATGGACGAGTGTCCACAAAGAACTCGAGAAGAGATAAAGGATTTGCAACCGTCATTAATAGCCTTAAGAAGCACATGGACGAGTGTTGACAAAGAACAACCTTAAGAAGCACATGAATGATTGTCGAAGAGAATAACCTTAAGAAGCATATGGATGAGTGTCGACGAGTGTCCACAAAGAACTCGAGAAGAGATAAAGAATTTGCAACCATCATTAATAGTCTTAAGAAGCACATAGACGAGTGTCGACAGAGAACAATCTTAAGAAACACATGGACGAGTGTTGACAAAGAACAATCTTAAGAAACACGTGGACGAGTGCCAACAGAGAACAACCTTAAGAAGCACATGGACAAGTACCAACAGAGAATAACCTTAAGAAGCACATAGATGAGTATCGACAAAGAACAACCTTAAGAAGCACATGAACAAGTACCGACAGAGAACAACCTTAAGAAGCACATGGACGAGTCTCGACAGAGAACATCCTTAAGAAGCACATGAACGAGTGTCTAACATCCTTAAGAAGCACATGAACGAGTACCGACAGATAACAACCTTAAGAAGCACATGGACGAGTCTCGACAGAGAACAACCTTAAGAAGCACATGAACGAGTGTCTAACAGCCTTAAGAAGCACATGAACAAGTGTCTAATGGCCTTAAGAAGCACATGGACAAACGTCTTACAGCCTTAAGAAGCACATGGACGAGTGTCAATAGAGAACTCTATAAGAGATAAAGAATTTGCAATAGCATAATAATGAACAATGCTAAGCCACTTCAGATTCAAAGATAAAGAATTTGCAAGAGCAGAACAATGCTAAGCTACTTTAGATCCAGAGATAAAGAATTTACAAGAGCAGAACAATACTAAGCTACTTTAGATCCAATAGAAGGTAGTAGAAAAATTGAAGGTCGTTCAAAGATAACATCAAGCAATTCAACAAAAGGTGACCAATGAACTGTAGTTAATCAAGAAACAACATCAGACCGAGTTCCAGACATTGTGCAAAGAAATGAAAATGTTAGTCCAACGACCACAAAGAACTTGGTTGAATACGCACAAGGAAGCAACTGCAACATCACGTTAACCATGTACCGAACAATCCTTAGTCTCAACCAACAAAATAGATCCAAAAATTCGAGATCAAGAACAACCTAAAGCTTCCGCTAGGGAGTGGATATTCCACCTAAACCAAGTGACAAACCTCCAAACTCTAGGAGGGTGGGTCATTTAAGGGAGCAGGGAAGGCACAAACACATTACTAGGTCGAATACGCACAAGGAGAGAATTACAACAACATGTCAATCACATACCGAACAATCCTTAGTCTCAACTAACAAAATAGATCTGAAAGCTCGAGATCAAGAACAACCTAAAGCTTCTGCTCAGGGAGCGGACATTCCACATAAACCAAGCGGCAGACCTCCAAACTCTAAAAGAATGGATCATTCAAGGGAGCAGGGAAGGAACAAACACACTAACGAAGTCACACCTTGGTTCCCGCCTTCGAAAGAACCTACCACATAAGCTCCACCTCGAGCCCAGGGAGCGGATATTCCACCTAAACCAAGTGACAAACCTCCAAACTCTAGGAGGGTGGGTCATTCAAGGGAGCAGGAAAGGCACAGACACACTACTAGGTTGAATACGCACAAGGAGAGAATTACAACATCACGTCAACCACGTACCGAACAATCCTTAGTCTCAACTAACAAAATAGATCTGAAAGCTCGAGATCAAGAACAACCTAAAGCTTTTGCTCAGGGAGCGGACATTCCACACAAACCAAGCGGCAAACCTCCAAACTCTAAGAGGGTGGATCATTCAAGGGAGCAGGGAAGGAACAAACACACTAACAAAGCCACACCTTAGCTCCCGCCTTCGAAAGAACCTACCACACAAGCTCCACCTCGAGCCCAAACTACACAAACCCAAATAGTTGAAATTCAAGAGGAGGACAATGACCACCCATTTGTCCCAAGAACCATACAAAAGCCTCTCCCACCTAATTGGAAATCTTTAGACATAGGAAAGTACAATGGGATGGATATAAATAAATCATCTCTTACTCGAGTTTACAAGTATAAATGAATTATGTCGTACTCGAGATTACAAATATAACAACTACTCAAAATCATGAGTATAAAAAGCATTCGTACTTGGGAAAACGAGTATAAAACTTACGAAACCTACATAGTAAAAGGAAACACATATGCCGAAACAAATACTGAAAATTAAGGATGGGAAAACGGGTTAGGCCCGGCGGAGCGGATTGATGTTTTTAGCTCGCCGACTCGTTTTGGCTTGCCCGCCAACCCGTAGCCCGCCAAATTAATAAAAAAATATTTTTTTTATTGTAATAAAGTTAATTATAAAGATAATAATATATAAAGTTAAAAATTTTAAAAAGAGAATGAAAAAAGTTTCACTCTCACGGAAAATATTTTCCTTACTCGAAACACAAGCTTCTCTCATGTTCTCCTTATTCATCATAAACATTGATTATTCTTATCCTTATGACTTGAATTAAAGGTGTAAGAATTACTTAAGAGATAACAATGTGAAGTTTTATAAAATAAAAAAGATATAGGTATTTAAATTTTTTAATATAAAAAATATAAATTTTATAAGTTTTAACATTATATATATATATATATATATATATATTTGTTATTATTTATTATTATGTAAATTTTATTATTGTTCTAAATTATAATTTCTTAAAATAATGTGTTGATTTATATTATTAAATTGAAATAATATATATATTAAATTATTGACAAACAAATAATAATTTTATTATAAATTTATTGAAAATTTTGATTTAAAAAAATAAATTATTTTTTTAAATTATGGCGAGCCAGCTCGCTAACCCGCGCCTTGGCGGGACGGGTCAAGGTCTATAGCCCGTCATGACTATAGTAGGTCAGTCCGTGTCGCCCCGCTTTTGGCTGACCAAAACGGGACGGGCTGACCCGTTTTGCCATCCCTATTGAAAATGTTCAAATTTATACATCAATTCAAGCGATAAAAAATGTAAAATACTAATGTCGTTCTTACTAACTATCATCTACTAACTCTTCATCGCGAACATCCCTTTCAAGGTTAAAACAAGCAACATTGAGCTCAGAGACGAATAGTATAACTTGACACACAATTTTCCTAAAGTCATCCTCATAACTATCAAACATATTGTTCTTCAGCTCTATCAATTTACTCTTATGATCCCTTTCTAACATAGTAATCTTGTTCACAAGTTCCTTGTTTCGACCTATCTCCATTCGAAGATCGTCTTCAGCTTTCAAAGCACGCGAAATAAACACTTTGTTTTCCTTAGCCTTAAAAGAAATAGCATCCTCATAATATTTTAATTGAGAGTTTAACGTAGTCACTCTTTATTACGACTCAGCCAAATATTTCTCCAATATTTTTACTTTATCGCCACAAGTCAAGGTCGATAACGTCCTTTAATGACGGACTATAGACAAACGTTGGAACATCATCACCTCAGCAGATTCTAAGTTACCCTTAATATCCACATGATTCACGATATCAAAATTAAACCGCGATAGTACGTTGGGGATAGGAAGTTGATCGACAGTAAGAGATGTATGTCACAAGGACTCAACGTCAGAAGTTGTGGACACATGATCCAACCGCCGAGCAAGACCTTCCTAACCTCTAATAATAACTCCTGAAGTAGCAGGAGAAAGCTCAGAAACTGATGAAAGATGTGTTGTGGGCGGTTGTTCATTAGGAATGTTTTCCATGTCCACGTAGTCAGGTTCAGAGGGAGTAGAGGGAAATGATCACACTACTCGTTGACTCTTGGACGCCCCCTACTGGTCTAGTCGATGACTAATCGGTACATGACCAAGTTCTTTCCTCATCTTTTTATAATCAAACTTAAGTCTCATGACCTCTGCAAAAAATACAGGTAAAAAAAACAAGCCCAGTGAAATAAAACTAGCAAAAGCTACCTGCAATCATAAAAAGTTGATCATCGGCCAAAGAAACATTTATTAGGGCTCTACATTTTATAGGATGAGGAGGTCATTTTATTAATTTAATATCTTCTTTCTCGAAAAAAGACATTAAATGTTCTGCCCGAGATTTAAACTTAAGTAGAGCTCGTCGCCAAAACAATGGAAAGAGAAGAGTATCATCAGGATAATATAGTAGGCTCTTTGAGGGATCAGATGGAAAACATCTTACTCGGAAAAACTGATACTTAATACCCTTAAACGATTAGGTGAAAATGGTGAAAATACCACCATACTGAGCACCGTTTAGGGATATCCAACCAATCTCTCAACCATACTTCACTTGATAAAAATGCAAAAATTTGTTTACAGCGAACTCAATACTCAACAGAGTACACAAAATCTAAAAGACCTTGAGAAAAGCCAAATTATTGGGATGAAGTTGGGTAGGTGCTACATTTAACTCGGTTAACATGACGCATTCAAAGTCGCTAAAGGGGAGGCTTATATCCAAATCTTTAAACCAACACTCATAGGCAAAAAAGTAATCGTCCAAACAACACTGGTATACTTGGTCCAAAGGCAAATAATGCTCTGCTACCAATAACTTTAGATTATCCTTTGAAGCAATATAGATGTATTGACACAAACCAAGAACAAACAAAGGGGATAAAAAATAAAAAACATAAGAATCTACAACATCAGAAACCCAGGAATATTCGGGGAAAGTAATACGCGGATGATTTTTACAATTAACCTTATTCTCAGATGCCTTACTTGTCTTCTTTACAGGATTAGAGGGGGATTTCCTCTTAAGTTGGGAACGACGGTTTGTCTCCTTTCCAAAGAAACTTCACCAGTAATTTTGGTAGCCCCCATCAACGAAATATTTTCTATGGACACAGAAAGGATACGTCCCTTATCAAAATTATATGTCAACCATAAAGTGGTTCGCATCTTTCCCACGGATACAACATCAGGTTTGCTAGCATTTAAACCTTTTAATGTAGTGGATACACGTAAAGAAAACTTAAAAATGAAGGAATGCCCAAGCAAAACGAGGGAAGAGAAGCGTGAAAAAGAAGAGAAATGTGAAAAATGAGAGAAATGTAAAAATGGAAAATAGGAAAGTAAGTTTTTTTTTTAAAAAAAGTCTTTTCGAATTCCCAATATTTTATTAAGGTCCTCTTGTTAAAAGGTCGTCCTTCCAAGTCAAAAAATTCGTTAAGCCTTCGTCCTTCTAAGTAAAAAAATGCGTTCAGCCTTCGTCCTCTGAGCTTTGGGGCTTATGTACCTACCTAGTCCAAAACTATTGGCCCACTTAACCATGCTTACCGGTCCAAATCCATTAAAAAACTAATTTTATTTATTTTGTTATTAATTATCGTTATTTTGTTATAATATCTTATAATAGTTATTATTTTATGGGCTATCAGTTAGTTATATTTCAACCTATTATTATCTTTTGAATACTATATAAAGGGCAGGGCCAGCTCAAGGCCCAAGCGGTTAAAGCCTTTGCTTTAGGCCCCTAAAAAAAAAGGCCTCCCAATTTTTTTTAATACTAATATTATTTCTAACAATTTTTTTAATAAATCATAATTTAAAAAAAATGGTTAGTTAATATTAATAGTTAAAGAAGTTCAAAAGTTTTTTTTATCTCTATTCTTTTACTAATTAATTTTAATTTTTATCTTCTCTTCTCTTTACGTGACTTTTTAGTTCTCATTTATTCATTCTCTTTACTTTTCAGACTATTCAGTTTGAGTGTTTGATACATACACATAACACATTAGTTAATGATTAAATATTTTCAATTTCTCATCTGAGTCATCTCTTATATGTTGTGTACTTGTGTTGGTTGTTGCCGTTTTTCTTGTGTGTGTTTCGATTTTACTAATTTCAAGGGGTAGAAGGAGGCAACGCAACTCAAGCAATGATCTATTTAACATTTCTTTTTTTGCAGTGTGATAATTAATGTGTCATATCAGGTAAAAATCTAAAATTTAAAACTTATTGTACATTAGAATTTCAAACTTCACAAATAAGAGATGTTTTATTTGAATTAGTTGAAGCTAGTGATGATCCTAAAATAAAAATTGAAGCGGATTGTTTAACAACTTATGATTTAGAAAATTTTGAATTTTTGTTAGGCATGAATATTTGGTATGACATTTTATTTGCAGTTAACTCAGTTGGTAAGAATTTACAATCAAAAGATACGTGCATTGATAAAGATATTGAACA